TTTCCCGGAGAAGTGTCACCTCTCTCGGCGTCTGTTCTGTGCAGTGAGCGGCAGAGAAGCAGCGCCTTCAGTTGGCCGCACCGCAGCCAACTCGTCAATAAAGGAGTACAAAACAGCGTTTCCAAGCACCTGTCGCTCATTGATTGTTTGGAATTATAAATATGAGCGTAGTTCGTCTGTTAATATCACGTGCACGTTTTTGTTTGTTGTTTGTTTTAGTTTGTTACTAGTGCGCTGCATGAGACAAAAAAGTAATATAGCCAAAACAACCGCATAGAAAATACCTTCATGTACCGTGAAACCGGTATAATTTTGAAAAATACCGTGATATAAATTTTTGGTCATACCGTTTTTTTTTCTAATTGTTTAAGCAACTTTATTAATTATATATGGGTTATAAACATTATTTTAATCAAAGATAGTCATGTTATTTTATTACGCTTTGAAGAAATGTGCGTAATATTTTGCTCGATGCACCCTCTTGTGGCCTCAGGAGAGAAGACTTCATGACTTAACTGACCACGACATTGCATGCACGTAGTTTATTTCATGCTTTGATATGAAAGGATACAGGCTACAGCGTGCGCCGATATGAAAGGATACAGGCTACAGCGCACGCCGGCGTCTTTGTGCGTGCAATTGAAGAGCACGCGCTGCGAGCACTGTACCGTTTCCGCACTCGTTTGGCTCGCACCTGGCGCTGAAGTTAAGTGGAGCGCGCGTCGTTCTGCAACTGAATAAATGCACTTCTAGTCAAGAGAAAAAGTGACAGAAGCAGCAGTTGAGAGTGGGGTGGCCAACCCTAGCCCCGCCCCTGCGTTAATTGTGTTAAATATTTTTAACGCGTTAAACTGAAAAAATTCAAATCGCCTGTGTTAACTATTCATGGTTCTATTCAACTATTCAAAGTTCTGCGAAAATTTATCAATTTTGACACCACTAAAAAAAACGAATTTTAAAATGTAATTATCTTCCTTTGAAATCACAGCACAGAAAAGCTTAAAATGAAAAAAGGCCCTGAAAACAAAAGCAGAAAAAGATTTATAATTTTATTAGAAAACAGCATAGAAGTAAAAGCTAAAAATTTACTCAAATACTAAAAAAAATATATATAAAAACTCCGATATTAACAGCTTCCAATATTGACCTAATCATGCTAATGCAGATCACCTTTAAAAAGTAAAACAAAAATAAACCGCTGATGACCATTTATGAACTATTTATAACTATTTTTTCATTGAAAACAAAGAATGGAAATAATATGCCTGGATATAACAGGCTTACAGTATCAGGTTAATCAGGATGATGCTGATCATTTAAAAAGGAAGATATAGCAAATATTGGCCGATACTGATATTGTCATCAATATACACAAACATGATGTAGTTCTGTGTTACAAAGCCACATCATGAGCAAGGTTCACCTCTTATTGTCTGCTAAAATTAAACTTCATTATGCATAAATACTGAATATTCTGTGCCAAAGCAGGGCTCCAGACTGCGACCAAATGGTCACATTTTGCGACCATTTTTTCTGCTGGTGCGACTAATTTTTGGGAGCGGTCGCACTGGCGTGACCACCGCATTGTCCAACTCATAAGCGCTGCCATTTCTGTTACATTTGAGAAACATCAAACGGCAAACGAAACAAAAGCGAAACTAAACCGCGCTACGTTTCAGCTGCGCGTACTGTTTATCAGCTCGGACCGCGATGCAAACAAACTTGCCCAAGCTCAGAACAGCTTTACTCTGCGACTAATTTTTGTGAGCGGTCGCACTGGCGCGACCACCGCGTTGTCCAACTCATAAGCGCTGCCATTTCTGTTACATTTGAGAAACATCAAACGGCAAACGAAATGAAAGCGAAACTAAACAGCTACTCGTTTGAGCTGCGCAGCGTGGACCATTTATCAGCTCGGACCGCGACGCAAACAAACTTGCCCGAGCTCAAAACAGCTTTACTCAGGAGCCAAAGTTGAGATCGCGACACTGTTACTGCACAGATGCAACAGTGCTGCGAGATCCAGTGAGAAGCGTTTGAATTCGCCGCAAAATGAATAAGGTTGCTGCGAGATCTAGAGAATTCTCTGTTATAAACTGATCAAACAGCGCTGACATAGAAAACCAGAAGTAGTAACGCTAACTGTAACCATGGTTTTGTGAAAGAAAGAGTTGGATGTCATTACATTATTCATTTCAGGGTTTGTATAACTTTGAGAGAGAAATTCAAGCACTTTTCAATGACTTTCAAGCATTTAACAACTATTTCCAGCACTTTAAAGCTCTAAAATTATCCAGTTTGAATGTTATTTTTAATGGGATGACCAAAATATACTTATGGTCAACAAGCACTTATGTAAAATAAAAAAAATACATCAAATCACAATTATAACCAGTAGATGGCAGCAGATGAGCATTTATTGGCTTATCAGTCATTCATTTCTGCTTTTTCTTTATATTTTGACATTATAAAATCACTATTATAAAATATCAAATAATCAAGAAATCAGATTTTGTCAGAATTTTACACTTTTTTTGTGCATGAAGTAAGAAAAGTCACAAAGTGCCTTGAAAAACAAACTTTTCTTCAATTTGCTACTAAATCACACAATCACTGCAGTTGGTCAGTTCCATATACTAGAAGAATAATGGTACATTTAATAAGAGTGAAATGTATAAATTTTCTATATACATTTTAGATTTTGCACCCGTTACTGTTGTTAATAAAAGTAAATTTTGTATGCATCTTAACTCAAGCTTAGTGTTTCTGTCAAATCTGTATAAACAATAAATAAAAGAAAAATAAACAAGAAATTAACATGTAATATTATTAGTAACTGCACTTATTAATGCAAAATAATAGTAATTTTCTGATTAAATTATCTATATTTTAATACTCCCACACACCACTCCCAGCGTTACCAAACCTGCTCCTGGCGCCACCATCTGT